ATGTTGGCCACTTGGATTCAGTTACGTATTGCTAATCTATACATAACATAGACGCGATGATGGTGATGATTTGATGTCCGATCTGTCCGTCCGTCTGTATATAGATACCAACTAATCCAGGTTTTAAGCTATCGATCTGAAATTTTGCACCTGCCCTTTTCACCAAAAGTCTGCTCATTTGTCGAACGGCTGATTATCGACCACTATAGCATAAAGCTGCCACACAACCGAACAATCGAAGCAAGTCCTTGTGCCAGATAGAAACTTTTATTTGACGTAGTATCTTTACGAAATTTTGGCATTAGTTATTTTTTAAGGCAACAATATAATTCCCGAAGAAATTGTTTATATCGGATTCGCCTGTCATACACAGCTATCATATGAACTGACGATCGAGTAAATTGCCTGGAAAAATTTTATTTTTATTGCCGATGATAAATCTGAATCAAGTTATTGTAAGGAACCTTTGTACCTGTGAAGGGTATTATAACTTCGGTGCAACCGACGTTAACGTTTTTTCTTGTTTTTTATTGTTTCGAGTCATATTTTTACTATAAGTAATACCTTGAGAAATAAGCAATTTTTATTGGCGATCAGATAAATGTGATCCAATATGTAAAATAGTCGGATAATTGATTTAAAATGACTTTTATGTATGAAGGAATATTATTTTCAAGAAAAATCAGCACAGTATTTAAAGGATAGTACAAGGCTTTACATTGAATAAGAACAAAAGCGTCTGCAACAACAAATTAAGGAATTGAAATAATTTCCACAAGATTAAATCAAAAATTATTTTCGTCAACATTACTCCCTCGGAATTCATCTAAACTGGAAAACCCATTGACAAACCGATCCCAGCCGACAGCAATTCATCGGACAGAGTGTGATACTGGTCGCAGCACGTGCTGTGGCGCAACGCGTACTTGCAATGGATCCTGGTCCCGAAATACATAGGCGTTCACAAATTCTTTGACCAGCCAGAACGTTAAATGTACGCGGCTGGCACCTAGGTTTAGCTACATAGGTTTAATAAAAGACATATAGTGACAAATTATTAAGGAAATAAATGTAATATTATTATACTTGTCCAAAAATAATTTTACCTATAACTGCAGTTATCCCAATTAAGCACAGTAGAGCGAACAAAAATTTAATATTCTGCATATTTTCTCTTATGGATTCAATGTCCAATGACGAACTGTCTACTAAAAGTTTGGAATATATATACTTCATATAAGGAAGTAAGTTGCTTCAACAACTGAATGGCGAAATCTGAATAATTAAAACAGTTGCGCCATAATGAATTGTATTCTTATTGAATTTGAATAACATTTCATATATCTTTTAGCTACAATGACTTAAATGTACTTATAATAAGAATTTTGTATACCTCGCAACACAATAAAATAAAAAGTTGTTTTGAAATCATCAGGTCCAAAATGATTGGATACTTGCACCAAGCGTCCCCTTTCGATGGAGTCCGTAACCACGATCGGTCCATAAATAGAGAAATTATTCAATGAAATTGATCGCCAATATTTCTACTAGTCGGCTATGTGTGCCTGGTATAAATTCCGATTTTTTGGCTTAAGCTTGCAAAATTTCAGTGGAACGCGTCCCTAGCATCAGCAGGCAAGATTGCATACTTTTTGGATGATAATTCCAATGCTATTCGTATGGAACAGGTGAAAATTTTCAATTTTTCGCATTTAAATGGAACGAATATCTGGATCAGGTACAAAAATTTGGATGACTAGCACTAGAGAATGTAAATAAATAGAGAAGGCGCAAATGTTAGCTGTGCTAAAATGTAAACCATTAAAATTAAAATTTCAATTTTACAATTTGTATCACTGAAAATCCTTGCCCACAAGCTGCTTCCTCACAACATTTGCTAAAAATCAGAAATTGAAGAATTTGTCTGACGTTCCCTTCAAAAAGGAGAATTGGCAACATGACCTCTTAGCGATTTGAAATATTATTTTAATTTCATATTATGCATTATAAAATTTATATAAAATTTTCATTCATATGAAATATTTAACTACTTCTATATATTCTAAGCACACTGCATATAGTACTTTTATATGTTTACTTATTGCCATTATTTCATAGTTTTTCGATTTAGCCCATTTTATCTAAATACGACGCTATGAAAATGCACACCAATCTGTAGTCGTAGTATTTCAAAAGAGCATAAGTCAACTTTCAATAGCAAACCACTGCAAAAACGACAAACGCGCCAACATAGTCGACTGACATTGTCACAAAATTGTCGATTCAAACAAATTTTATCAACTCTGCGACGCTGCGCAAAATTCGGCGTCAATATGTATGCGAGCTCGTATGTATGTATGTATGTTTGTCGGCAAAGTTGTAATTTGGATTTTTTCAAGGTTTTGTCAGAACTCAATTTTTTTGCTCCGCCCCGTCTCTGCGGGAACTCGCCGTTACTTCCATGGCATGCCAACATGAACAGAAGCGTCTCAACGGAGGATTTATATCATATTATTATATTGTTTAATTTGTATAGAGAAATACTGATATCTTAGGGCTTATTTACGTAATATTATATTATAATACGGGCTGCTATATAGCTGGCTGGCCTAGGCAACACTAAGTGTTGCCAGGTGCAATCTGACATTTCCATTGGAAAGTTTGACATTTTTTAGCATAACATCACTCAGAACGTTTTGTCGGCCAAAAAATGGAATTAACTCGTGAACATTTTCGTGCGATCATTTTTCACAACTTTCGACGTGGATTATCACGACACGAGTGCATCGATGAACTAAAAGCTTTGTATGGCTATGAAGCACCATCGGCTGTATGGCTATGATAGCACTGTGAAAAACTGCAAGCGTACGTGTATTTAAGAATGAATGTGTGATTATCACATTTGTGTAAATACGCATAATAAGGGAATATTCAATAAACTTCATATGTTTATGAACATATTTTCCTGAAATATTCTAATTATTATATTTCAGTGAGTAAAATATAATATTTAAGTAGCTGAATTTAGATCAGCTAAAATATCAAATAATAACATAAAAGAAAAATAGAAACAAGATTTATGATTTACAGGATTTGAACGTTAGCGTTCGTATTCAGAATGACTTAACTCCTTCACGCTTACGACCTGAGCCACCGCAAAACTAAAATCGCGGCCACTTAGTCATTGTTTTATTGTTATCCTTTTTCTATTTTTCAAGCAACGCACAAAAATTGGTTGTAGAATTTATCTATTAATTACATATATTAATGTGAATTCTGGAGCTTTAACGAATAATCTTCTTATATAATTTGAAGAATTATTTTAAATTACAAAAATTATGATCTTTTGTTAATATGCAATTGTAAATCAGCATGCGCATAATTCATTTAAGAATCGTATCGATCATTGCGTGGTGTATTTCAAAAGAATCGAAGTTGTATTTTTCGACTTTTTAACATTTGAGCCTTCTCTATTTATTTATTTACATTCCCTGCTAGCACCAAATGTCCCCTTCTATGCATAAACAATACTTAAATATTTTCATTTTTTATTTATTAATTTCTTAGTTTTTAAAATATTAGTTATATGCACTTGCTTTCACCCCACACGATATTACCACGATTAAGAGGAGGGAAATCAAGATAAGCCGTTTGTAAACCTTAACCTACGTCCTTTCCCGATTTTAGATCGCCCATAAATTATTTATCCTTTCATTATTGTTAGTTCGTCTTTCGTTTTCAATGGATTTCAGCCTGGACAGGAAGATTACCGATGACAAAGTCGGATACTTTATAAAATATGTATCTATGTAAATGATCAAAATGCTAAGCTGAGTCGATTTAGCCATGTCCGTCTGTCAGTCCGTCTCACTGTTTTTATATACGCGAATTAGTCCCTCAGTTTATGAGATAACGAGTTAAAATATGCACACGCCTTTTTTTACCTAAAAAGCTGCTCATTTGTCGGAGTCGCCGATATTGGACCACTATAGCATATAGTTGCCATACAAACTGACGAGCGGTATTAAGTTCTTGTATGGAAATCTTTGGTATTTCACTAGATACCTTAACGAAACAGCGTTAAAATTTCTTAGATCATATAGCTATAGCTTCGGTGCAATCGTTGTAAACGTTGTTTCTAGTTTGCTTTAAGAAATGTTCTACGCTTACCTTGAATAAGATATTCGATCGAATTGAAAAAATATTGTAAATTAATTGAGATTGTGTTCTTTCTACGAACTATTTCTCTTGTGTTTAAAAACCCATCACTGTTTATCTAAATAAAATGCAATTTCATTCACTTTTATTAAAACCTAACTTTATTAATTAAAAACATCTGCGTATCTTTCATTTCTTACTTATATTAATATAATAAACAATGAAATTACAGTTATTTTTATTATAAATATTATTTGTTGCACAGTTACATACAACTTTACTGATATTATGATACTAAAACTTATGTTCTTAAAATGAACAGTTTCTTCAGTGAAACATTCAAAACCAAATATATACATACATTGTTTTGTATTTAGATATTTATCTTTCCGCCTTATGTGTGTGAGAGCTTGTAGCATAATTTATGGGCATTTGAGCCTTGAAAACTAATATATGAATACAAAAATATGTTGTATGTAGATATTTCTTTTAGTTTGGTTATGCTGAGCAAATGTTTATATTTAAAACGTTACGACATATGTAAAAACTTGAAGTAGTATTTCATTTTAGTGATTTGAAGATTCTATTTGAAAACTTTTGAATGTTATGTTTGTTACTAATAAATTTTACTTTTACAAAAATGCAAAGTGCATATATGGATGTATGTTTGTATGTTTGTATGTAAAAGGCAGCGCAGCTAATTAAATAGAACAAAATATATATATCGTTAATATTAATCATAAAATTATATTTATCCTCTATTACTAAAATTAAAATTTCCAGAATTTTCAATGTTGAAAACTACCAATCGAAGTTTTTAAAACTAGATTTATGATTTTAAACATTATCTTCATTGTTGTTGTTTGACTATACCGCAATGATTTCACTTACATTTTACATCAATGGTGTTGCCATATTGTTGAATCAGTTATCATTGCTCCAATATGTATGTATGTATTGTGCTCAGTGCTTTGGGTACGCAGTTCCAGTTTGAGGTGAGCTACTGTTGCTGTTGAATTTGCATTTGCTTTTTAGTAATTTTGTTCATGCGCATTATCTAATAGCTGGCAGCGCCTCTTGTGGACAAATAGAATATATGTGCCAGGCGTTCAAAAGTTGAATACACCTGAAACGCTACCGCGATATTGAAATCATACGCATGGCTACGCGGATAGCTCGGACCACTTGCCATTGCACGACGAACGCATAATCAGAAGGGCATATCGCGGTGTTGATCAATTCCTGCAATGAAAGGACAAATGGAGGTGTGTACAATTTTAAAAAAGATAGGTTAAATTTCGGCGTTATTGGTTAGAGAGTTATAAGAAGACATGAAAGCAGAGTATTAAGATAAGATTTTTATAATCTATGCTACATAAATAACCCTTAACAAGATACGAATTTGAATGACCACTGAGCTGATACAGATGAAACTTTAAGGGGTCATGGTCATATCCACTTGCAAGTCGGAGAAACGCGTTTTTTCGTGATTTTTGTTTTTGTTGGAAGAGGAATTTTATTTAATAAATAACTAAAAATAATATTTCTTTACATAATTCAGTATATTTGAATAATCGATTATTTATTTTCTAAAACTCTGGATTTTCTTGATCAGGTAGATCCGGAGGTCCTTCAAAAAAAGGTAAGAATGATTTTTCTGCTTAAAATTATTTCAAAACCAAAAACCAAAAAAAAATGTATAGATGGATGCAGGTAATGATCGAAGGACTAGGAAGGTCGTATGAAAATTTCAAGTTGATCGGTCCAGCCGTTTCGGAGAAATTTTCCTCTGAAAACAGCGTTTCGAGAAAAACGCTTGTAAAGTTTTGGCGGCCAATTACATCAATTTTAAAATTTTTTACACTTACACTCATGTCTAGCTATTTGCCGGATAAACTGCCAATTTTCGCGGGGAATATTTTCAAATGTATGCACATTCGATACATTAGCAATAAAAATTAATTTTTGGAAATTGACAAGTGCATATAACCCCTTCATGAAGACGTTCCAAAATGCACAAAAATATCTGTTTACTTCATATTAGTGGTAAAGAATTGATGGTCCGATGTCGATGTTTATCGAACTTTTTGCCGCAACCGCAAAACCTCTCGAAATTAAAATTTTTATAATATATCTATAACCATATATATTA